GGGGGGGCTTGTGACGACGACTTTTGGGTTAGGTCATCATAGTTGCAGCTTGCCCAAAGGTAGCTTGTGTTGCAGATGGAAGTTTATCCTTGTAAATAACTGTTTGCAAGTTATTGTACAAATCCTTGCAGGCTAGACCAAAAGACAAGCCCAAAAATTTGGTTTCTTTGCTCACTGGATATATAATAATAATTTATTCTGGTAGGTGTGACACTCAATGCACAGTTCCACTGTAGCCTTCCCTCTTGTCACTATATGTTTATTTATAACACTGTAAAATGCCTTAACCACTACTAGTAAAAATATATTATTCTTTAAAAATGCATTAGACACCCCAAAGATTGTCTCAGTACTCTTTTACAACTTTAAAAGGATAAAAGGAGAGGGAAAACTACAAAAGTAGTATGAACAATACTATACTGCTTCATGTTTCATCCAGCAGTTTGTTTGAACAAACTGTGTAACATGAACAATATACCTGTTTTTCTTTGTAGAGCTGGACTTGGGTCATTAGTTTCAGAAGACATGAAGATCCCCAACAAATTTGTTGGATTAAGTAAGTGCACATTGTTTCTTCCCCAAATGTGCAGCAGATTGTTTGTGCAGCCTAATCGAAATTCAAGGGAATTTACTTTCCAAGACTACATTAACATCAGGGGGGATGTGTTACTCTATGTGATTCATGCTAGTAAATAATGTACATGTAGTTTAACATAGGGCTGATGAGCTAAAGGGCTCCTGTTTCCTAGAACTGTGGCAAACATTAGCTCTTTTATTTTGTGAACGGGCCTTATTTTTGCAAAGCTAACAGGCCACGTTCAAGGTATCAATATTCTCACATGGCTCTGAGGCTTTTAGGTCAAAATTGTAAATTTTTTAAGTTTCTTTTGTCTCTCAATTCTCAAAAGAGACTTGGATACAAATACAACAACACCAAATATATCAGTTTTCCCTGAGCCTCAGAGTCATGTTAGAATATTGATATATCAAATGTGGCCTATTGTCCAAATGCCATCACTCAACATCCCAACTTGTGTCATATCTCAGATCTTATGAGAAAAAAGTCATCTCCTCGAAGCGCTCTGTGATCTAACGATCTCGTTAGTTATGCCTCGAACAAAATGTAAGAAATTGGGTGATTGGGCATTTGCCTATGCTGGGCCATCAATGTGGAACAAGCTTCCAAAGCCCATTCAAAAACATTTACTCTTTTAAAAAACAGCTAAAAACATATTTGTTCAGAGAAGCCTATAACATTCAGTGATAAATTTTATTACTTTAATCTATTTTTTTATTTGTAATGCTGCTTTTTATATTTCAAATTTTTATAAAATTAATATGTATATTTTAAATTTTTATATTTTAAAATGTAAAGGGCTTATGAATATTTTATATAATTAGCGCTATATAAATTTAATTATTATCATTATTATAAATCCTCTTAGTACATATAGAAGTGTAGAGAATACTGATGAGGTGTTTAAAATAACTCACTTGTATTTTCATTTCTTTCAGTCATTGGACGTGGTGGAGAACAAATCAATAAATTACAGTCAGAAACTGGTGCCAAAATACAAGTTGCCCCAGGTAAGCTTTGAGGCATTTTTAACAATTAAATTTTGGTTATTCAAACAAACAAGATCTTTAAGCTGTAATCTTTGTTATTTAATTGTAATCTTGAGATGTGTTAATAATATTAACCCATCTCTTAGATACATTGTATCACAGATACATTGTATCTGTGCTAGCTGTTTGTTTACTCTCGTCAATAAGCCGCAAACTTCATTTGGTTGGAAACAAGTTGTATTACATGTATGCACTTGCTAAATTGTTTTATTGATAGTGGGCAGGCAATGTTTTACAATAGGTAATAATATTTTATTGTTTGATACAGAAAAAAGCTGTCCTGTTCACTAGTCAATGTTGTTGATATGGAGACCATTGATTCTCTGCATTGCTGTGTGGAAGACTATTACAGTAGTAGAGTCAATTTTCCTTATTCAGTATATATTATTGCTCAGAAGAATAAAGGTGCCTTTCTTTTTTTGTGGCAGACCCTCCCCCTGGGCAGATAGCACCTCCAGATCGACATGTATCCATTAATGGAACACAACAAGCCGTAGAGTAAGTGTGTGTTTTACAATAGGAACAGGAATCTGGATTCTGAAACATTCATGGAGTTATATTTTATTACTATTGGGTTCTGACTGGTGTTGTTTTGACACTTGACTATAGATTGACAGTACAGATCCGACAATATCAAACACACCAATACAGGAAATATTTAACTACAGTTAAATCACAATATAATAATGCATAAAATTTAAATTTTAAAGTTTGAAAATATACTTAACCACTACTTAGCAGCCTCTTTAGAAATCTCTGCTAATTGGTCTTTTGCCTTTCTACATGTTACAGGAAGGCAAGGAATTTGTTAAATAGGATATGCGAAGAAGGGAAGATTCCAGAATCTTTGGTAAGGTATTTGAGTGCTCTTTTTGTGTTGTGTCTTGAAGCGTAGAGAACCATTATCTACATTTAAAAGAACACTGTGTTTGGAAAGGGACAATAGATTCTCAACTTGGATCATTACATGTAGCTACACAGTGCTTTACTGGGCTCCTCAGTGTTCTACTGTCAAAGTAAACAATTGTTTCCAGTGTTTGTAGAAGCCATTGGATTGTTTTTGGCAACCAATTTAGCGGTTGAGCAGTTGTCACGTCTTCTCCATTTGTCTCCCGAGATTAGAACACATTGTGTTACATCAATCATTCTAAAAAATTAAAATACAATTTTGTTTTAACTTGATTCAGATGTCATTACCAGTTGTTGCTCCTGGTGAACAAGTCATTGAAATGATGATACCAGCTAGTAAAGTTGGACTCATCATAGGTAAGTTGTAAACAGCTCAGCCTTTCCTTCCAGCGGGTACATATAGTGAGGTCATACCTTTTTCTGGCATTCTGCATCTACATGTAGAACTTCCTATGGCCATATCATTTTTTCAAGAGTGATTGTAGGTAGTCTGCTTATTTTATCTTTTCAGTGTTGTGGAAAACACTTTTATACCATTCAACTTTCAATCTCCAGCTTTAGGAAACTTCAAAGACTAACTGTTATTACCTTCTATCAGAATACGTTTTAAGCAGTGTTTTGTGTTCTTGATTAATTCCACTCGTATAGGTAAAGGAGGTGAAACCATCAAGGCTCTTCAGGTTTGTTTTGTATAAATATCAACATTGCATGGTTCTGTCCACATTCTAGGTATGATTTCTAAATGTATGATATTATTCTTTGTTGGCAAGAAGAATGTAACCCCCCTTAACTGTTCCAGTTTGGTAATACTCAAGATTGTCTCACTGATCTGAGACTTTACAGTGATATTAGGAAGCTGTCTTTATTAGTTTAAGTTGTTTTGAAAGACCAATATATCTATAATTTCTGTGGTTGAATTTAGAGCAGTTCTCATACAAAGTCAAATATTGATTTACACCCACTTTCAGTGTTACGTGCATAGGCGACATCTTTTGACCATCTCTTGACATTCCATCTTTCGACGTGCTATGTAAACGGCTGAAATACCATTTACCTGTGAAACTAGCAATTATTCCGGTTATTAGCAGATCAAATGACAAGTATATGATAATTACTGACTTCAAATGAATGAAAAAGATTGTGGACTCTCAATTTACGGGACAATTCAAACGATTTTAGTGTAGTCGATCAGCTCTTAATAGTAACTTCCGGTAGAATTGGGCCACTACCACTCAGTTAATATTCGAAAGATGTAAACATTCAAAGCAGTCGATTTATCCCTCTCAGAATGTTTTCTTGATGCTAGCCTTAGTTTGATGTCAAATAAATCCACCTTTCATGGCTAAAAGTCGAGTTAGACCGTAAAGAAGCCACTTGTGCTTACATTTTGATGTAGGCCAGGTTACATAGCATGTCAAAAGATAGTTGCTATGCACATAACACTGAAAGTGGGTGTAAGTTTGTCACATTTTTGGCAATTTTGAGGAATTACAATAGATGCATGAGCAAAAGATATATCCCTTGTATTTGCAACAAAATCACTTGAAAGGCATGTACAGTTAAGTTACTCAATTTTGGGGGACTGAGATAATACATGCTCTAGGCATGAATGCAACTCTTGGTCATGATAATTTCTAGGAGAGAGCTCAGTGCCGAATGATGATGGTTCAGGATGGGCCATATCTTAATGCGCCTGAGAAGCCCCTCAGGATAATGGGAGACTCTATGAGAGCACAGCGAGGAAGGGACCTGGTTCAGGACTTGCTAACTGAGAAGGAGCTTGAGGTCAGTGGCAACCCAACAAACAGGAACTGGCAGGTGATGATGGGAAAAACAGGAATTTTCAGGAATTGAAACTCCAGTTCCTTTGGTTTATAATGGTACTTGTATTTGAGAGCATTTANCCCAACTTGTGTCATATCTCAGATCTTATGAGAAAAAAGTCATCTCCTCGAAGCGCTCTGTGATCTAACGATCTCGTTAGTTATGCCTCGAACAAAATGTAAGAAATTGGGTGATTGGGCATTTGCCTATGCTGGGCCATCAATGTGGAACAAGCTTCCAAAGCCCATTCAAAAACATTTACTCTTTTAAAAAACAGCTAAAAACATATTTGTTCAGAGAAGCCTATAACATTCAGTGATAAATTTTATTACTTTAATCTATTTTTTTATTTGTAATGCTGCTTTTTATATTTCAAATTTTTATAAAATTAATATGTATATTTTAAATTTTTATATTTTAAAATGTAAAGGGCTTATGAATATTTTATATAATTAGCGCTATATAAATTTAATTATTATCATTATTATAAATCCTCTTAGTACATATAGAAGTGTAGAGAATACTGATGAGGTGTTTAAAATAACTCACTTGTATTTTCATTTCTTTCAGTCATTGGACGTGGTGGAGAACAAATCAATAAATTACAGTCAGAAACTGGTGCCAAAATACAAGTTGCCCCAGGTAAGCTTTGAGGCATTTTTAACAATTAAATTTTGGTTATTCAAACAAACAAGATCTTTAAGCTGTAATCTTTGTTATTTAATTGTAATCTTGAGATGTGTTAATAATATTAACCCATCTCTTAGATACATTGTATCACAGATACATTGTATCTGTGCTAGCTGTTTGTTTACTCTCGTCAATAAGCCGCAAACTTCATTTGGTTGGAAACAAGTTGTATTACATGTATGCACTTGCTAAATTGTTTTATTGATAGTGGGCAGGCAATGTTTTACAATAGGTAATAATATTTTATTGTTTGATACAGAAAAAAGCTGTCCTGTTCACTAGTCAATGTTGTTGATATGGAGACCATTGATTCTCTGCATTGCTGTGTGGAAGACTATTACAGTAGTAGAGTCAATTTTCCTTATTCAGTATATATTATTGCTCAGAAGAATAAAGGTGCCTTTCTTTTTTTGTGGCAGACCCTCCCCCTGGGCAGATAGCACCTCCAGATCGACATGTATCCATTAATGGAACACAACAAGCCGTAGAGTAAGTGTGTGTTTTACAATAGGAACAGGAATCTGGATTCTGAAACATTCATGGAGTTATATTTTATTACTATTGGGTTCTGACTGGTGTTGTTTTGACACTTGACTATAGATTGACAGTACAGATCCGACAATATCAAACACACCAATACAGGAAATATTTAACTACAGTTAAATCACAATATAATAATGCATAAAATTTAAATTTTAAAGTTTGAAAATATACTTAACCACTACTTAGCAGCCTCTTTAGAAATCTCTGCTAATTGGTCTTTTGCCTTTCTACATGTTACAGGAAGGCAAGGAATTTGTTAAATAGGATATGCGAAGAAGGGAAGATTCCAGAATCTTTGGTAAGGTATTTGAGTGCTCTTTTTGTGTTGTGTCTTGAAGCGTAGAGAACCATTATCTACATTTAAAAGAACACTGTGTTTGGAAAGGGACAATAGATTCTCAACTTGGATCATTACATGTAGCTACACAGTGCTTTACTGGGCTCCTCAGTGTTCTACTGTCAAAGTAAACAATTGTTTCCAGTGTTTGTAGAAGCCATTGGATTGTTTTTGGCAACCAATTTAGCGGTTGAGCAGTTGTCACGTCTTCTCCATTTGTCTCCCGAGATTAGAACACATTGTGTTACATCAATCATTCTAAAAAATTAAAATACAATTTTGTTTTAACTTGATTCAGATGTCATTACCAGTTGTTGCTCCTGGTGAACAAGTCATTGAAATGATGATACCAGCTAGTAAAGTTGGACTCATCATAGGTAAGTTGTAAACAGCTCAGCCTTTCCTTCCAGCGGGTACATATAGTGAGGTCATACCTTTTTCTGGCATTCTGCATCTACATGTAGAACTTCCTATGGCCATATCATTTTTTCAAGAGTGATTGTAGGTAGTCTGCTTATTTTATCTTTTCAGTGTTGTGGAAAACACTTTTATACCATTCAACTTTCAATCTCCAGCTTTAGGAAACTTCAAAGACTAACTGTTATTACCTTCTATCAGAATATGTTTTAAGCAGTGTTTTGTGTTCTTGATTAATTCCACTCATATAGGTAAAGGAGGTGAAACCATCAAGGCTCTTCAGGTTTGTTTTGTATAAATATCAACATTGCATGGTTCTGTCCACATTCTAGGTATGATTTCCAAATGTATGATATTATTCTTTGTTGGCAAGAAGAATGTAAACCCCCTTAACTGTTCCAGTTTGGTAATACTCAAGATTGTCTCGCTGATCTGAAACTTTACAGTGATATTAGGAAACTGTCTTTATTAGTTTAAGTTGTTTTGAAAGACCAAAATATCTGTATAATTTCTGTGGTTGAATTTATGGCAGTTCTCATACAAAGTCAAATATTGATTTACACCCACTTTCAGTGTTGCGTGCATAGGCGACATCTTTTGACCATCTCTTGACATTCCATCTTTCGACGTGCTATGTAAACGGCTGAAATACCATTTACCTGTGAAACTAGCAATTATTCCGGTTATTAGCAGATCAAATGACAAGTATATGATAATTACTGACTTCAAATGAATGAAAAAGATTGTGGACTCTCAATTTACGGGACAATTCAAACGATTTTAGTGTAGTCGATCAGCTCTTAATAGTAACTTCCGGTAGAATTGGGCCACTACCACTCAGTTAATATTCGAAAGATGTAAACATTCAAAGCAGTCGATTTATCCCTCTCAGAATGTTTTCTTGATGCTAGCCTTAGTTTGATGTCAAATAAATCCACCTTTCATGGCTAAAAGTCGAGTTAGACCGTAAAGAAGCCACTTGTGCTTACATTTTGATGTAGGCCAGGTTACATAGCATGTCAAAAGATAGTTGCTATGCACATAACACTGAAAGTGGGTGTAAGTTTGTCACATTTTTGGCAATTTTGAGGAATTACAATAGATGCATGAGCAAAAGATATATCCCTTGTATTTGCAACAAAATCACTTGAAAGGCATGTACAGTTAAGTTACTCAATTTTGGGGGACTGAGATAATACATGCTCTAGGCATGAATGCAACTCTTGGTCATGATAATTTCTAGGAGAGAGCTCAGTGCCGAATGATGATGGTTCAGGATGGGCCATATCTTAATGCGCCTGAGAAGCCCCTCAGGATAATGGGAGACTCTATGAGAGCACAGCGAGGAAGGGACCTGGTTCAGGACTTGCTAACTGAGAAGGAGCTTGAGGTCAGTGGCAACCCAACAAACAGGAACTGGCAGGTGATGATGGGAAAAACAGGAATTTTCAGGAATTGAAACTCCAGTTCCTTTGGTTTATAATGGTACTTGTATTTGAGAGCATTTAACTCATGCAAAAGAATGAATTTGAGGGGAACAAAATCTACCCACGAGACTAGTCCTAACTTCATACTTCTAACACTTCTCACCTCAAAAATCAATTTAGAGTACTCTTTCCAATAGATTCCCCCTGTCATACACATGTAATTGTCTCCTCCCTTCTGACTGTGAATCTGGATTGTATTTCCTTAATATTGTCAGAGTTAGAGGTCACAAAAGAGGTGTCCATGTGAGGCTCTATGTAGGATCATTTCTCGTTTTTCCTTTGTTGGACTTCCTAGTTACCTTTGTGGCAAATATGCAGACCCTCTTGAGTTTGTGGGCAGTTTCCATTCTTTCCATTACGTTCCCTCTCTTTGGCTCCCCCAGGCTCTGGATGCTATTAAATCAAATTGTTAAAGTAATGAAAGTTAAATAAACATTTTACAGTAAAATGTTATCGTCAAGAGATAAACTCGGCAGCAATTTAATGATATTTATAAATTAAATCTCAGCAAAACATGCCTGGATTGGACTACAAAGGAAACCGACATGATTTGCCAAGAAATCAACCTGGAATGCAACAATTAGAGGTTTGTATTACGTGTTAACCAAACTGAAACTACAACACTTGAATGTATAATTGAAGCAATTACTGGAGACATGGCACAAAATACACCGAATGCAAATATGGCAGACCGCTCTGTTGGCACCCGGTACGAGTCGCATGCAAGCGAGGCTAGTCAGGCTTTGATGTTTTGTTTTGACAATGCTTCCCCAGAAAAGTCTTGTCTTGATTTTGTCGTCGAAATCAGAGCCTGACTAGCCTCGCTTTCATGAGACTCGTCCCAGGCGCCAACCGAGTGGTCGGCCATATTTGCATTCGGGGTATAGACTTTTTAAAAAGTTAGAATAAAGATAAGAATTTGCATATTTGTAAAAAAGAAATAAAACGACAAAATTAAACTATGAAAAATTATTAATAAAGTATTTTAGTATCTGAGTGCTTGTGTCTTAAAATGAAATTAGTGACATTAACAATAAAGATGTCTTCAAGTATAGAGATAAATTTTAGGTATGAAACTTTATTGCATGAATCTCAGGTGGACAAGAATGAGCCTTGTTATCTGAAGCTTACTGATTGATGGTTGAAACTAGAATAGATTGAAACTGATTTTTTTCAAGAATGACTGTTGTTTAACTGGGTTAATCAAAATCAAGTCATGGCTAAATTGCGCAAAAGCATGGCTGTAATGCTGAGAAATCTTTTTATGATCTGGATTTCCCTTGACAGGTTCCTGTTCCACGAGATATTGTTGGTTTTGTTATTGGAAAGAGTGGTGAAACAATCAAAAGAATACAGGCAGAAACTGGAGCAAAAGTGCAGTTTAATATGAGTAAGTTTAACTACTTTGCTAAAAGAATTATATATTCTCCAGGAGTGGAAATATATGTGAAATGAGTTTATTGCCCACAAATGTCTTAATCTTGAGTATTAAAGGCTAGTTAAAATGTAGAATCTCATGACGAAAACACAAAATACATTTTTTTTTTCCTGGCAAAACTTCTTGATCCCCCATCCCCCTCCCCTGGTGGTAGTTAATCTTAAGCCCTTGCAGTGGAAAAGTCATCAGAGTGGATGGAAATTGGTAAACTTGAAGACAAAGTTTTTTGGATAATGGTAAATTATGGGTTGCATGTTTTCAATCTTGTAGTGTGAAAAGTTTGCACCTTTATCGTTGCGCTTTGTTCCACAGTGTCAGTTAGCATGGAAAGGGGTGCAGAAGTGTACTTATAAAACCAAAAAGTGTGCAATAGACAATTTAATTAGCCTAATGAGTGATGAACAACAGAGCAGAAATTCCTTTCTTTTGTGGGACTAATAGAGTTTCACTTTGAAAATGTTGCTGTTTAGTACATGCTGTTTTATGTGATCTAAACATGTATGTGTATATGTAGACTAACATTTATCTTTCATCTTTCACCCTTCATCCTTCTTCCTTCATCTTGCATCTTAACAGAAGATAACTCAAATGCACCTGATCGAATGGCATCTGTCCAGGGAACACCAGAGCAGGTCCAGAAAGTTCAGAGCATGATTCAAGAAATCATAGAGCAGGTGACCATGCAGGAATTTTCTCAATTTTTTTGAGCATTAGGGAGTGATTTGTTTGTTAGCTAGCTGCATGTATTTTCCTTGTTTGATCTTCAGTCTCGGCAGCGAGGAGGTCCACCTCCCAGGGGTCCACCCGCCAACATGCCTGGAATAACCTCTGTTGAATACCCAGTACCAGGAAATAAGTGTGGACTTGTCATTGGAAAAGGTGGGTGGAAACATATCAAGAACAAACACGTAAGTCTGGTAACTGTAAAATTTATCTTTGGGTGAGCCAAAAATGTGTATCAAATGGGAGAAGTGTTGATAAATAGATTTCTTGGACCAAATTCAAGATGTGGTATATTGAGATATATTTTGGTCTAATGCTCCTGTCATTTTGAGATAATAATCTTCGTTGGTCAATAAAAAGTCATGAAATTTAGGTATCGTTTTCGTATGGGTGGAATCATACAGAGCTCTCATAATCTAGTCTAGTGATTGTACAGTAGTAGTGCCCATACTTGGTAAGCCTTGGCTGAAAGGAGTTTCAAAAAATGTTGGTCTAAGTTGCAAACAATACAGATACATAAGCTATCAAAGTACTGTTCAAGAGATTTTTACTTTGGTTTGTTCTCTGTAGGAGGGGAAACCATCAGAGGGATAATCAAGGCATGTGGTGCACACGTGGAATTAAACAGATCAATTCCTGAAAGTTCTCCAACAAAGTGCTTTATCATACGAGGTACTGCCTCTCAACTTGGCTCTATAGTGGGCTTTGACAGCATAAACTGATCTGTTGTGAGAAATTGTAAGGTGTTGTACAGTACATACCTCTTACTAAGCAAGTTCGAGGTCCGTACTGTAAGTTATGGACCGAGTTTTTTCCCCCATTGATTTATGGCCCAAGCCTGAAGCGCGCAGGCCATAAATCAAAGGGGGAAAAAAACGAGGATCCGTAACTTACAGTACAGACTGAGAAGACGAGGTTAGTAATGCGCGTTCGTGAACGATTTCTCTTTACACAGAACGGCTTCAAATTTCTGATGCATATCAAAAGCAAAACGAGCCAATTTGAAATCGTTTTAAGTCGTTAGCACGCTTGAATACACAATTTAGAGTAAAAGAAAGTTTTAAACTTTTACTTGCTATAAAAGTTAAGAACACTTGGTGATAAATCACGGAACAGTTTGGCAACAAAAAATTGTTCAAATTTTAGCAGGCCGTACAGGAGAATACGGCCCACTGAATTGACCAATCACAACGCGCGTACTAACTGAGAGATATAATGATCTGGAGTATCATAGGATCAAAAGATTCCCATCACTGTTGATCTGTTGTATGATGGCATTCAATTTGTTATATCAGAATCTATATAAAATTTGAGCATCTATATAAATTAGGTTCTTCAAACAATGTGGCAAGGATTTTAGTGAACTTAAGTAGAGGTTTCAATAGAAGGCAGCTGCCGGCAATGGATCCCCTTCTACTTTGCTCTATCTTGCCGTCTACTTTGCACGATCAGTCAAATGTTTTAAAAATGTCTCAACCGTGGTCCTGTATTTATTCAAAAGGTACAGATCAACAGATACAACACGCCCAACAATTAATCAGGGAAAAGATTGAAGGTGAGAGAGGAGGTGGAGGGAATAATTACAACCAAGGACAAAACTGGAACCAACCTGGCTGGAACCAGCAACCACAGCAGCAGCAACAACAGCAGCAACAAGGGGGCTGGTCACAGTATGGTCAGTATGGACAGCAGCAGCAACAATTTGGTCAGCAGCCTCAACAGCAACAACCCCAGCAATATGGCCAGCAACAGCAGCAGTATGGCCAGCAACAGCCTCCTCAGCAACAAGTAAGTAACAGTGAATTTGTGTAAGGTGTAACTGGAGGGGAGTGAGTGTAAAATTAATATCTTGTATCAAAAGAAACTTGTCATGTAATATATCAAACACGAGACACAGTGTTTTGTCAGGATAGCCAAACACCCAGAAGAGTGTTAAAAATATGACATGCAGTGGAGTATTTTTGACAAAATTTGAGGTGTTTGGATAGCCAATGAAACACTGTCTTGAGTGTTTTATGTATCTTCTCAGTCGAAACAAAAACTAAGGGTGATGTAGCAGCTGTCGTAAGGTCTGACATGAATGGCTTGCTACCCTTTGAGAGAACAATAGAACAAAAAACAGAAACAATGCCCCTAGCCCTAAAACAATAACAGCTGCTAACAATGAAGAGAATTACAAGCTTACGAGAGCTGCTACACTTCTTAAAACTAAGGAGAAAACAGAGAAGTAAAATCGTCAAAATCTATGCTAATTAAGACCGGGTATCCAAACCTCTTTCACGGTTGTGATTTCCTTTGTTTTAACTTAATGAATTATTGATGAGTTTGAAGTGGACTTTTGTAAAAATGTGGCCATGCTTGTTATTTTGCTGATGGAAGTGTCAGTTATTCAGGTTGTTAAAAAGCACAATTGGCTTTCATTTACAGTGTAGTTGAAAAGAGCACTAAAGCAAAAATTAAATTATTATATTCAGACACTTTTTGTGCAATAGAGCAAGGGAAATTTCTCTTGTTCATTTTATAGCTACATGTATTGGCAAGCTAAAACTAATCATAAAACAGAACTTAAAGAATTATGATTTTTTCAGGGCCAGCAGCAAGGCCAACAGCCAGGTCAAGGTAAGTTTTGTTCTTCACACAATACCACACTTGTCATTGTTGTCTGATATCAATTTCTTAGAGCTGACATATTCCATAGAGATAGGCATCTCTGAACCTGAATCAGTAGCTAGAGTACCAAACTTGTAACACTATTAATCAAATAGGTGACAATCATCATACAGAAAGTAATATTCTGACTCTTCAAAGTTTTATTGCCTTCTGGTTAGGTGCTGAAGTCTGCTGTTTTATTGTTATTGGGTTGATGTGTGTTATTTTGTCTTTTTCAGCCCAAGGGCAGGCAGATTATTCTGCAGCATGGGCAGCTTATTATCAACAGTTTTACCAACAGCAGGCTGCAGCAGCTGCAGGACAAGCAGCACCAGGTATAATGACCAAAACAATCTTTTTAACCTGGTGCAAAGAGATAAAAGCTTAGAGTAAGATAACCCATTCTCAGTCCACAAGTCACCTCCAGAGAGCTGAATGAAGGACAACTGCTTGTTTGATCGTGGGTTGACAAACAAAATGCAAGAATAGTTTGAGCTTGGTATTTAAACTGTACATGTGGCATCATTGACAAAATATTGGCTTAACAGGTGATGTACAAGCCTAGACCTTAACCGCTATTGATCAACCTGCAGGTCAGGGAGGCCAGCCTGATTACACCCAAGCCTGGGCAGAATACTACAGACAGCAGGGTTATTACTACCCCTATCAGCAACCTGGACAACCACAACAACCTGGGGTACCAGCCCAACAACCACAGCCACAGCCACAGGGACCCCCAGGGGGACAGCCAGGAGGACCCCCAGGGGGACAGCAGGGACAACAGCAGTAGAACTGTCAACTGTCAAGGTATGCATTATACTGACTGAGGGGTGTGGTGAAATTTGTAGTGCGTTTGGAAAGGAGACAGGGTGGATTAGGGGAGTGAACAAAAGCTTGCAAGTCTTTATTCTTAAATTAAACTTTAATAAGTAATGTTTAAATACGTTTATCCTGGAGTGAATATTGTTACTTTTTTGCTATTTTGGTTAACCTGAATGTATCCATGCAGGTCACCTATGGTAATTCTGATGGTTATTGATAATGTTTATGTTCAAGTGCAAATAATATTATTGCTTCATCATTGTTCTCATTTACTAATGATGATTGTGAGATTAGAGTTAGTAGTTAACCACTTAAAACGTAACAAGAAGGAGAAGAGAAATCTCAAAGAGTCGCATAGAGGTCAGCTTGTAAGACAGTGCACATTCTGTTATGAACAAGTTTGGTGAAACATTCTACATCTTGAGAATTTTTTATTACTTTAAGAGTCTTTTTATGCTAGAAGTAAAGTGTTGATTGGTTGTTTCAGATTTCTTTATTCACCTATATCAATGCTTGTTGTAAAATTTATATGTCTCTGTTAATTTGGCCATAAGAATTGTGGCCATTCAAGATCCAGGGTTGGTTATTTTTGTATTGTATTGCATGAGTGAATGAAATATGAAAGTTACTGGTAATAATACTGCTTTTGCTAAAAATAGTGTTGCTGTCATGAATTGCTTTCTAGGAAGATGACGATGTGTGACGGGAACGCTGTTTTTACGAAGATCTCTTTTATAACAAGGATTTTGGTGTTCTTCACATTATAATGATTTTGTTATAGGTCTTTGATCCAAAAATTATATCGTGTATAATATTTGCATTTTTAGTTTGCCTATATAGACTGTAGTGCTGCATTTCTATTATATTTATGTTAGTATTTTGTAAACATTATCTATCAAGTCACAGGATTTGACGTAGAGTAAAAACCACTGGGCATAACATTAAAGAACACATTTCATTTGTTGTGTGCATTTGTTATTTTGCATCAAATGACTTCACTTGCAGACACCTGCAGGCTCTCATTGGAGGATAAAGCCATTATGGAGTTGTCCCGGGAACAGGGCTCTAATGGTGTAAAATGTATATAAAATCTGATTGTAACGGGATTAATTAGAAATAATGCATAATTTATCTCTTATAGTCTGATACTTAAATCTTCAAATATTAAACATGTTTACAGACTAAATAGTTCACCTAACGAATGCTTGTTATACATTTGAAGTTCTTGTACATCTTTTCTATTGTACCCTCAACAAAGAAGCATTTGGATGCTAGCCAACAGACTTTGTTGTGATAATGTGATGTTGAATTGTTTGTTTGTAGTGTATTGTTTGACTTGAATTTTTACAGGAGCTGAAAGATCCTGAAGCAACTCTGCTCGCAATGTCACAATGTTACAATTTTGTTTCGCTTGCGCTGGTGTAGCGATGAATTGATTGTAAAACATTTTGTTCCATGATACTCCCCCCCCCCCGGTTTTAGCTTATAAACCTGCCCATTATTTTGTCTTTTGATAATTGGGACATCTTCTTCTAGAGAAGTCCGTGGTTTTTCTAGTCCTTTGGTCAACCAAACGGCGGGCAAGGGATAAAGATAGTCCTGTCTTTCCCACAAGCCCAAATGCCAGCTAACCAACCTCCCTTGATAGTCATTTAAAACAAAATCCTGTGTAGTCATAACGTTAAAGATAAATGATAACACTTTGATGAAGGCTGGTTTTCACACTAGCGCATAAGCAAAAGCCGAGGAGCTGTTAAGTTGCACCTTCTGTTAGGAACTTTTTCAAACAAAAGGTGCAAATTAACAACATCTTACTGCATCTGCCTGTGTTGCTTGTACTGCATCTGCGTGCATCTGCCTGTTTAGCTTATTTCCTATGCAATGTTTTTTGTTTTGCATCTGCCTGTGTTGCTTGTACTTCTGCGCGAGTGGAAACCAACCTCAAATGTGTAGCGCATTGTTTTTCCAAGTGAATTCTTGTGTTGTTTAAACTGAAGTATTCCTGTTCCACGAAAATGTCTTTTATGAAATCTCACTGTTTTGAAGAAGTGAAAGTGTTCAGTGGTTATCAGTTTCTTACAAGTGCACGTGTGGCGCCGCCTGGGTATGAAATCTTCTCACTGTTTTGATTTTGTCACTCGTCCATGTTTTTTTGAAAGCTCTTAGTAACCATGCTTTTGAAAATTTTGATAATCCTGTAGGCAGTGAAGTTTATTTAGCCATTATTCTCAAGTTATTGACGCGTGAAACAAACGATATTGTTATCAGAAACTATACAGTTGTATTCAATATCGAATATTGTTGAATAAGTAAGAGGGTTGTTTTTCAGAACCGAACGAATCCATGAACAAAAATTTGTGCGTCCTTCACCCGGAAGCTGACCTCTTCTTTCCTTTATTACTGAATTTTATGAATTACATTTTTAGTTTCTATTCAGTTTTGTTGTACATCTGATGTATATAATATGAAAGTTGGTCAATATTGTTTTGCAGTGTTGTACCTGCAAGAAAATTGCATTCTCCAACAGTAAGCTTATTTCCTATGCGATGTTTTATTGCATATGCTAGGTTTTTGGAAAGTTTCCCTTATTTCTCATTAAATGAATTTAATACATAACATTGATACTGTTTATCTGATGTCTTCATTATAAACGTCTGTCAATGCTGACGTCGCCTTTTCTTCATTACTGAAACAATTTTAATCTAATATGTTTTTAGTTTTTATTCAGTGAATTAACGTCGTTTTGTTGTTGAGCATCTGATATATAAAATATAAAAGTTACTCAATATAGTTTTGCATTGTATGTCGTTGCATTCATTGTTGTGGACGGATAACAATGTTGCTTTTCAGACGCAGAAAATTATCTGCAGGAAAATTGCATTCTTCAACAGTAAGCCTATTTCCCATGCAGTGGTGCATTATTGCATATGCCAGGTGCTTGGAAAGTTTTCCGTATTTCTCATTCAATGAATTTAATTCATGACATTGATAATGCTCATCTGATTCATTACAAACTTCTTTCAGTGTCGAC